GGCAAAACTACTTGGAAGAAGTATAATGAGGTCTCAAAAAAGAAAAATAATTACAAAATAAGTTTAAGAGATTGTCATTGTCTACTCTAGAACTTATCATTACAGGCTGCTTAAACTATTATAGGGACTTTTTAGTAATTATTCTTTTCCATGAGACTTGATTATAATTCTCCCAAATTACTTTCAGATCCCCCTTCCAAAAAAAAAAACATATTTGATAAAGAACCTACTTTGATTATTATGATACTACCTATGATCTTTAATGTAAGATTCTATTTGATTTTTATTTTGGTCTTAAATATAAGACCACAATTCACTTTGTTTCTCATATTTGTGCAATTTTTTGAAGGTAGTCTTTCTAATAATAGTACTTCTAATCAATACACTTGATTAGCAATGATATTTTAGGAAAGACAACACTTATTTATTACAAATAACTAATTTCACTTATTTTCTTAATTTTTCCAGATTAGTCAACTAGCTCTTATATTTAGGACTCAAAAGTAGTATTATTTTGGTTTTAAATCAATATTATTTAAAATTTCAAAGAAAATAAATTCATGGAAAGACTTTAAGTAATTTAAACTAATTATTTTAATTTAAATTACTTTAAAAAGGAGAGAAACATATGCAATTTTTTTCACGATATGCATCAAATTGACTCATCAACATCCAGCATTTATTTGTTTGAGCTGATGCAATTTTTTCTTTTCTATTTATTAAGCAATACTATTTAATAAAAGTTTGCAAGAATTGAAAAAAAAATGTCAATACTTTTTGAAGCTGGGTAAATAATAAAAAAAGAAAAGAAAAATAGAAGAAGAAAAGATAAAGAACGCTTTTATTTTTGGAAAATTTTAAAATTCCAAATCAAGGATTACTACAAAAATATATTGTCATTTGCTTTTCAAGTGTAGTTATTTTCTTTATGAGTGTAGTAACCAATACTAATTTAGAATTTTGGAATTTAATTGTCATTTTTTGAGATTTTCCTTTTATTTTTCTTGTGTTTTCATTGAAATGCTTAACTACTCATTACAGTATTCGTCCATTTGTCATTTTCATTACATTATCCTTTCTTGAAATTAAGTTTGAATGGAAGGTGGAAAAGACTTCTTTGGGGATCAAATTCTTGAAAGTTTGAATTGCTTCGAATCTATGATTTTCTTTAGTTGTTTTGCAATTTAAAATCTTGAGGACAAAATTTGAAGTAAGCATGGGAGAGTTTGATAACTCCTCATTAAATATTTTTGGAGAGTTATTAATGAAACTATATTTTTAAGAGTTATTAATAAATTAATTTTGACCATTAAAACTCAAGTACTCCCTCTGATTTTTATTATACATACCAATAAAAACTGTTAAATGCATTGAATTTGTCTTAAAATTCAAGTAATTTTAATAGCACCCTCGTTAATTATACTAAATTTTAACATCATATTAATTTTTATTTTTTTATTATTTTTATTAAATATGGATATATATATATAAAAAAATATTTAATACTCCTCAAAACTATCACAAGGTCTTAAGGTCTGGTGACAAGGGCGCGCGGGAAGCAGTTTTTTACCTCTCAGTACACAATCCATATGTATTGGATGGGAATGGACCTCACAGTACCCATGAGCTATTACCCAATGTGAGACAGTGAAGATACGGTGGATGTTAATATCTGAAGCATGGGACTAAGTCCATCTTACGTCTAAAAGATATGTATTTTTTTTATACCATCAAAAGATATGTATGTCTTTTGTTTTTTCGCCACCAGCAGTAAAAAATATGTCAGGCGTCGGGTGCCCTGTACCATTGATTTATAAAAGTCCTTATTGCCTAAATATTATGAAATATAAGAGGAGCATGGCAGTTTGTTGTGTGGGTGGACGTAGAACAGGAGAATTGCAACACAATTCCAATAAACGCTCATAACAATTGATGAACTTATAATGATAAGATAAAATGATAACAAGTTTCAGGCTTTCAGTTTTTCACTTATTATTTGTGGAGAGGCTGTAAATATTTGAATTTTTTTTTTTTGATTCAATATTACTCTAAAAATATTTAAAAAAGAAATAATGTTGCTTTGACTGTTATAAACTACTAACAGTTAATATTAGTTTTTAAGCCGATAATATTAGTTTTTTAACCATTAAGGTGACATTATTCTTTTGTTTTTATCACTTTTAATTTGAGGTGATATTGAGCAAGACAAAAATAAATACTACTAAATGCCTACAACTCTATTGTAGATACTTTTTAGTTTTTAGTTCGTTCTTACAGGAACCTCAACTTTCCTTTAAGGGATGTAATTGGGAAAGTGGGATTACAAAATTTTAATAAAGATAAAATATAAGAGTTAATAAATGTGGCCAATAATTTGAATGTTTTATTTATCTTGAATTATTTAATTATAAATTATTACTATATTTTTATCAAGAGTTGCATATGTCATCTGTCTTTTTTTTTACGAATGCAATTATTTGAATATTTTTATGTGTCGTCCTATAAATAAAATCAACGTTTTTATGTAAAAAAAAAACGAAGATTATCTCTGCGTCTCTTAATTGAAATTTACATTCATTCTTTCTTAAACCTTGTAATTAATTTTGTAAAAAGTAGTTGTTAACTTGTAACTTATAGTCAATTTCTCGGGATGCAACCAAGTGTCTTAATCATGAGATATTATTGAAAAATAGGAACCTGCGTTATCAAAAGATTTGTGTGTGTGTTTTTTTTTTAATTATGGAATGAGTTAGTCATTCACTTTAGTATTTTATTGAACGAAACTAGTGATATTATTTCTTCATTGATTAAGAACTTTGATTTTGAGAAGTATTATGTGATGGCTATATGGTTGTTGGTTATTCGCAAATAATCACCGACTTAATCACTCAAATCTTGAATTAATTTTGTGAAAAGTAATTGTTAATTTCTAACTTGTAACTGTCAATATTTGAAAGCAAAAGTTGTTATTTCTTATGGCATATTTGTTTTTTTTAATACATCGTCCTGTTCACAAATTTTGAATTTGATTTACTAAAATTAGTTGTCAAGTTTTAAGTTCTAATTGTTAATAATTGAAAGCATAGCTGCTATTTTTTATGGTATACGTGTTTTTTTTTCCCAAGCAAAATTGCATACTTGATATTTAGTTTCAGTTTTCCTTTCCTACGATTGAGTTGTTAATCTATGAAGTCTATTCGTCATTCTCTTGAAAAAAAGTTGTTATTCTTATCTAATTGATTAATTTAGAAAAATTAAAAAATTCAAATAAATTGCTTTAAATATTATATTTATTATTTTTGTGCAAATTAATTTACATTGCTTATAAACTGATGTGTAATCTAATAATACATTTAAGTATTTTTTATTATTATATTTAACTGATATACTATAATTAAGTAATTTTTTAAACTTTCTTAATTTATAAACTGACGTGTAATCTAATAATACATTCAAGTATTTTTTTAATATTATATTTAACTGATATACTATAATTAGTAATTTTTTAAACTTTCTTAATTTTCTCAAATTAATCAACTGATTAGTTATATTAAAGAGTGGAGGTAGTATTTCGTTATCACGTTGGCGTATAGCAGCAAAGTGTTCAAACCACTGTTTGGTTCAGATAATACTGGATATTGATGAGTCAATCTAGTGCATATTGAGGAAAAAAATTGCATATGTTTCCACCCTTTTTTAAATAATTTGAATCAGAATAATTAACTTAACTTGTCTAAAAATAAAATAATATCATAATTATCAAATTAGGTCCTTTGTCCTATAAGCTATTTTGCGCGGAGGGTTGTGTAAGTAATTTTGACCCCGATTTCTTCGTGGAGAGGAGATGAACTCATTTAGGTGACAGCCATATTTTGCTGCCATTATGCAAATGAAGGATATAAGGGCCCGACCATGGAAAAATAAATATTTAAGCAATAGGAACTTTTCTGTGTTGGTCCTAAAATTCGTTCGTATATTTAAACAGAGTTTGGAATGACCTATATTAATTAAAAATGGATATCAAAACTTAAAATAAACGCCATGAAATTCACAACTTGTTGATATTGTAATTATTGTTCACAATGTTAGTACTATTATTATGTTATGAAAGAATACTAATTAAGTTGCGGGTTTAATTAAATTAGGGAGGACCGTTATATTATTGAAGTAACTAGTACAAGACCCGTGCGATGCACGGGTGTGATATGGTCTATTACCATATAAAAAATCAAATGAAAATAAAATGGTTAGCCATTTGAAAGATATTGGATGCAATAGTGTCATATGATAATATGACAGTTGATAATTACAAAGGAAAAATATAATGTTTGAGTCTGATGTGATTTTGTCTTATTTAATAATTACAAGGAAAGATGTATCGACAAAGAAAATCTAATGCATGAAAGAACGTTTGATTACTTTTCATCAACACAGGAAATGGAAAGATACACAATACTTGGTGTTCTCCATCCTATCACCTCGCACTTATTTCCTTTAAATGATAAAAAAAATAAGAAACAAACCATTGTAAATGTAGAGATTAATCACCCAACACTCCATTATAAATAATATAATAATTAGCCCTAGTCGTATCAGACAATTGTATAGGCCAACAGCATACTTTATATGAAATTATTACTTATACTGGAAGTACAAACATATGATATAGAAACATATTTGTGTTCCCATGAAATTAGAACAAATATTTAGGCATCATATTAAATACAAATATGAAGTGAAAATACCCCATTCAAATGATATCTAAATTTTCATTGTTAATATCATCATATTAATACAAAAAACAAAGTAATAACAAAAGAACAGCATGGATATGAATATGAAGATATTATCACTTTTAAAGTTTCAATTTACCTTCCAGCTCAAAGGGAGAAAGTCATAATCACTACACATTCACAAAATATTGCATATATGAAATGGTGACCTACTACATATATGTTTGTATATGCACAAGCATGGATCAATACTGACCTAGGTGTCTCTCAATTCAAAAGGTTACAGAAGACTTCCTTATAAACAACATTTGAAGTTTTATTGGTAGGAGTGCCTTTGTCATCAAGGAGCAATATTTTTAAACCTTCCCGTCGCCGCACTCGTGAGATAGCAACGTATAACTGACCATGTGTAAAGACAGGACGAGGCAGAAATAACCCTACATTGAGAAGACTTTGACCTTGACTCTTGTTTATAGTCATTACAAAAGATAGCATTACAGGAAACTGTCTTCTACATAGAGTGAAAGGCAAAGACGTCTCAGATGGTGTGATGGTTAAGCGTGGAATCAAGACATGCATGCCAGTATTACTTCCTGTGATAATCTCAGCTCCTATCACATGTTTCTCCAAACGTGTGACAATTAACCTAGTCCCATTACAAAGACCTATGGATTTATCAATATTTCGCATCAACATTATAGGAGCACCGACTTTAAGGCTTAGCTTGTGATTTGGCAATCCAGACATTGTGATTGTATTTAAGAATTCAACCGAGTGTATTTCTGCAATGGAACTGTTGGCACCATCTGATTTGCAAACACTGTCAGCACTAAGATAATTGACTTCCTCACCTGGTAGCTTTGCAAGCATATAACTATTCAATTCATAAACAACAGATAATGTAGCTGTTAGGATAGCACGATCCCTGAAGTAAGACCCATCGCCTAGGCGGTCAACCAAACTTGGATATGTACTGTCAATAATGCAATCCATAGGATTCCCTAATGGAAACAATAACAAATCTCTAGGTATGGTAATAACATCTTCTGTGTCAGGTTCAATGTCAACATTGCCATCTCCAACAGAAATAATCCATTCTGAAAACTTTGTTATTGCATCTACATCATCTGTGTAATGACCTTTGGTTAGTCTCATGTTTTTAGTCAGTGTGAAGACAGTGCATTCATTCCACAAGTATGAAGCATTAATAGTAGCAAAGACAATGTCTTCACGCCCACCTCGTGGTATGACAGGAAGTATTTGCCTAAAGTCTCCTCCAAGCACCACAGTTTTTCCGCCAAATGGTTTTCCTATAGCATTAGGATCATTTCTTCTAATGATGTCTCGTAATGTTCTATCCAATGCTTCAAAACAATGCCTGTTTGCCATTGGTGCTTCATCCCATATTATCAATGAGGCCTGTATTAAAAGCTCTGCTAGTGGTGTTCCCTGTTTAATGTTGCAAACTGAATCTTCAGTGATGGCAAGAGGGATTGCAAATTGTGAGTGGGCTGTTTTACCGTTAGGTAATAAAAGTGATGCAATGCCACTCGATGCAACAGTAAGAACAATCCTCCCTTCAGATCTTAATGATGCACATAATGTTTGCCATAAATATGTTTTCCCAGTTCCTCCATATCCATAAACAAAATATAGCCCTCCCCGCACATTATGAACAGTGTCAATTATTGTAGTGTAGATTGTACTCTGCTCTTCTGTTAAGTTTCGAAGAAAGACATGTAATTGCTCCTTAAGGACATTACGATCAAAATCTAACTCAGCCAGCACCAATTTATTGACCGCTGATACATTTAATGATCGAGCTGGATAAGGCATTGTTGGATAATCTTGAAGACTTCTCCCATTAAGTTGTAGCAAATCTTCAATTTTATGTAAAGCATGGTCTTGCAATTCAGCATCACTAAGAGAAAGTCCTGGTTGATCATAGAATGACATCTAAATTGTAATGATTGTTGAAATAACAATTAATTAACAAAACAATATAAAATAAAAATGAGATGTGAGAGAATAATTCTTTAAAAAAAGAGTGTAAATATGGGGGACGCATACCAGGATGGCCTGTCAGCTGTTGTTGGCTATAAAGTATGTCCTCTGCCATTAATTTCCATGATTGCTGCCACACAATTTCAGGGCGTGATATACAGTTACATAGTAACAATGTGCAAAACAGGCGACGAAGGTAATTTGGAGTGGCCCACTGATTTGCCTCCTGAATAGCATCAACGTACTCTTTGTCATCCTCTAGTAACCCTAGGGCATAGCAAGCATCCCTAAATGTAGGATGGAGGACATCATCAACAGTTCTCAATTCCTCAAAAGATCTTGGCCCTTTAACAGTTGCTAACAACATACGAAGATAAAAGGCTTCTCCAGTGCCAGGGGGAACATAGCATATTCTTCCAATAGAGAATCCTGTTTTTCTAAAGTCCCAATAATGACCAGGTTTTTTGAACACAAATTTGGTTGGGAATTCAGAGTATGTTAAAGCACGTGCTTCATCATATTTTTCATTTGCCCTCATCCAAGCTTGGAACATTGTTGGTTTGCCTTCATTATGGTTAACCACATCATCAAGGTTAGCTTCATCTGCATAAATAATTGTTTGCTGATTTGGTAGGTGGAAGGAAAGTCTTTCAACTGATGGAGTTCTATAGTTTATATCAAAGCCAAAAATCCTCCAAACAGCTTCACATGGAGATAAGTACCGAACATCATAGTACATTTTAATTTCATCATGAACAACTTCCCTCTCACCTGATGAAGACTCACCGTAAAAGGCTATGGTAGCTCGATCATGACCCTTACTCACATATTTGAACAAATACTTAATTGATTCCCCATGTTTACATCTCTCAACATTTAAATGAGCCTGATATTTTAACAGTAATGTAGGGTTGTAAGGAATCACACTCCTATTGTCTAATGGAACTCCATTTTTCAAAATATACTGACCATTGTTCGGTCTTTTATAACGGGGATACCCATCTTCATGAATGATCGTGTTGGAGTTAAAAGGCTTTGGATAGTATTTGGAACACTTGCCATTAACCATGCATGGAGATTTTGGGTTAGCTAAACCACATGGTCCATGCATCATGTAGTTACTAACAGCTTCAAACAATTCTGGCTGTTCATTTTTATCCGGTATTTCAGCACTAATGACTCGGTCAATTTCTTGAGGAGAATCAAGATAGGATTGGTTTGCTAGAAACAAAACGATGTGAGCATGGGGAAGGCCTCTCTTTTGAAATTCAATTGTATACAATGCTGTAAAAAATTTAGCAACATATGAGAAAGATGAACAACTGTAATATAATTTTGAACCACCTGACTATTACTCATTTGTGAAAAACAATAATATAAAGAAGATTATAAGATATGGTTAATTTAATAATATGCAAACTGACCTGCTTTAATAGGACCAAAAATATCACCCTTCTTCAAATCTTGCATGAGATGCTCCAATTTCATCTTGAAAACTCTTGTTAGAAAATCTGGACGGTCTTCAAGTCGTAAATCTTCTTCTTCTAAAGCTCTTGTTATTTCTGGCCATTTTGGGTTGCAGGTAAATGTGATAAACAGTTGAGGATAACCAGCCCAATTGCAAATTGCTATTGCATCTTGATAATTATTCATGATGTAACGTGCTCCTCCAGTAAATGATGAAGGAAGGATGATCCTTTTTCCTCTTGCAGCTGCATCAGTCTCACCCAACAACAAAGCATCTGTTAACCCTTTATACATTTCTGCTCGTAGTTGTTGTTGATTATTCCTTATGAAGGTTAGCCTGTATGATTCTATCATTGTATATGCATCAACAACAAATTGTTGGAAAAGTTTCCCACCGTGCAATATTGAAGAATATTCAGTATTCCTGTCCTGTATCATATAAGCAAAATACTCACGCATAGAAACATAGGTAATCTTGGCTACTGGTGCCTCTCCTCTTACCACATGAGGTATTTTTTCATCATACCCCCCTTCACCATACGGAAATAACAATGGATACTGTAAAGGCAGAAAGTCAGGATGATTTTCATGTATCCTATGTAATAATCCTGTCTTGTATTGAACGATGATATCTCGACCGTATTCAGTGGATCCAATATCTCCTACAATTAAAGCAGCTATCTCATTTTCAGAGGTTGGCATATCATATTGACGGACATTTCTCCCACGCCTATGCATAAGTCTAATTTTGATAGTTTGTCCCTCATGAGCATGAATATAATCACGAGCCCGACGGAATACTTTTACTAACTTATTGTGCTCATCTAGCATATCCTGCAGCATCTGTACAAGAGAAATATCCACTAACGATGATGTGCTACTATCTCCACTGAAAAGCAAATAGTGATAATTAGGAAAAAGGAACAAATGATTTAACATGTGTGTAATAAGGACAAACAATAAGCAAGTAATATAAGTTGATCAAATCTCACTATTTGTACCTTGTTGCAGAAATTCTGTTGGCAACTTCATTGGATGTATCATATATGTACAACTGAGCAAATTTTGGAGTAGCTCCATCTGTAGGGAGTATGCTACCAATCAAATGCATATTTTGACCACTCAGCTTATACACATAAGGTGCACGTCCATCATTAACATTTCTATCTATTTTTCCACCCATAGATGTAAAAGCAAACATCATATTATATGTCCTAACATGCATACGAAAATGATTGCTTTGTGGGTGATGTCCAGCTAATAAGTTGAACAATTGAACTGGTGGATCTTGAAAAGTAGGAAGCTGTACTTTGCCTTGAAGGCAACACATGCCAAATCTTGGTGGATTCTCATTTCGGTGTTTTCTAAGTCGTTCATCATACCACATCTTTGCACCACAGTCAGGACAAATGTAAATGCGGTCACCAAGATCTTCATAAGTTGGTAACTCTACAGGCAGTAGTAATTCATTATCATATAAATTACATAGGAAAAATTGTACACCTAAAATATTTAATTTAGGTAAATTGAAAAAAATGACATATTTGGTGTATATAGTACCTTGATTGTTACCAGCTGAGCCTCCAAATGGCACAGTGTTTTGGCATGTATTTTCTTTATATGAATGTTGATGGAGGTGGGAACTTTTCATGCGACGGATATGAAGCCGTTCTAATCTTGATGCAGCGGGATTAATGTTGTCTATTGACCATGTGTGGGGGGGAGTACCAGAAAGATTTGCCATTGATATTATGATTGAGTTGGGCAAAAGCAGACAAAGAAGTAGTAGATGTGAGAAAGTTACACACTACTGAAATATATGATTGATATATATGGCAACAGGGATCACAAATTATGAGTGAGCTATTTACCGTTAGGTAATAGAAGTGATGCAATACCATATATAAACAAAAGTGAATAACTCAATAACATTTATAATATACACTACCGAAATACTATTACTTGTGAAATTATCCACTTCAATATGGGAGGCAATGGGAAATGAACTATTATTGGAATTCAATCATCAATATCACAGCTAAGATAATCTACGTTCAAAATGCAAATATTCGATATAAGTATTTTACAATTAAACCCTTACATTCATGTTGAATAGGTGAACGCTAAAGTTAAATTTGATTCGTGTAATCATCAAATGAATTATTATAAGTTTTCATATGCCATCCCTTTGGAAACTTGATATTTTGTCATACATATTCTAAATAAATTGGAATTAAAATTTGCACAGTTTGAAATAATTAAATAATGTGTGTTGAATTGAATTTTATTTAAAAATAAAATAATGTGGTGTAGTATAAATAATAGAAATTCATGTTATCTTAACAAAATAAAACAATCTAACCAACTATGATTTTTTTAATGAAAAGATGCTAGACACAACTGTTTGGCCAGAAGGTGCGGATAACCCAAAAAAAAAAATCCAATATTATTAGTCTTATAACTAATACTACTTCCAATAACTCACAATCAAAATAAATAATATTACGTGTCATTATTTCTTGTTGGGAATAAGGCCTATATAAAATTGTAATATACTAATTATCAAGATATTGGCTTTACATAATAGTTCTCAAGCTAGAAAAACAAAGTGAATAACTCAATAACATTTGTAACATATGAGAGTGAGGCAACATTTAATCAAGGAGAACTTTGTCTAATACAATGGTTATCATCAGCATAATGCGCACATTAAAGTATTAATAAACAATTCAGTTTCAAACACGTACGGTTAGTGATTGTGGTCATTGCAGCTCGAGAAGGAATGATTCTTGCTTTCTTGAGACGTGGAGATTCCAGGCATGTATTTGAATTTTCTGTAAAAACTTTGTATTAGATTATATAGGAATGGAAGTTTATAATGAATGTATAGTAGTGTTACCTTTGTCCAAATTATATGCGTCATTGTTAAAGTCAGAACGTCTCTCTCTTTTCCTTCTGAGTATATGAAGTCGACGAGCCCACGCTAAAGCGCAAGAATCTCCTAACAAAGTTAAGTATACATGATTAGAAGGTGGAAAAAGCATCAAACGTTATTAACTAAACTAAGGATCACGTGTAATATATTGTATATAATAGCGACACCTTAATTATTTGAGAAAATTAGGACTACATATGTATATAAAAAATAAAATGTGTGAATTCTCAAGAAAACTTAAGGTAGCCAAATGGGTGTAAAGGCATTCACAAATCCTAAACATATTGATTTTGTCCTTGGTGAAGGTTGTAACAGTATGAAATCAATAGTAAAGTACTACAGCAAATACACTAAATAGGCTGAAAAAAGCATACTACCAAATTGAAACCAAATGAACTAATGAATGTACCTTCATTTAAGTTAATTCCATGGAGGGTCCCACCAGGAATTCTTTTTTGCTTGTTGGAACTACTGAGGATATTGGGGTCATCATGGACGGCATCGAAATTATGCATATTGTTTCCGCGTAATGACAATCAAATAGCTTAGAATGGAATCGAAGAGGATTCAGGGCTCCTTAAACTGTCAACAATGTTGGAATGATGTAGATTATGAGAATCACAATCATGCACAGAAAAATAAAATTGGAAGTTTCCAAGAAGCAAAATAGTATATGTCCTCTAGAAAATCATGGGAGAGACCGGTGATATCATGTACACACCCACAAGCGTTTATACCAGGACATGCATGATACTACCTCCGGTCCTTATTATAAGACCCCGTTTGACTTTTGTTTTGGTCCTAATTATAAGACCCCAATCTATTTGTCTCTCATATTTATGCATTTTTTTCCAGATAATCCTTCTAATAATGATAGTTCTAGAATATACTAATTAGCAAGGAATTTTAGGAATGACAAACTTATTTATTACAAATACTACTTAACTTACTTCCTTAATAATAGTCAACTGGGTCTTATAATTAGGACCGGAGGTATATAAATTGACAGTTAATTAAATACAATTTAAAAACATTTATATCTGTTTAATTTTGACATGCATGATATAAAATTGACAGTTAATTAAATACAATTTAAAAACATTTATATCTGTTTATTTTTGGCGGAAACAATTTTGCTAATGGCAGGAAAAAGTAATCTGTATATTGTTTGTTACGATGATAATCATATGCATGCCTTGCCGAATTCGAATTTGGAAAAAATCATGAATTGTCATATATAAATGTTAAAGCATTGAAATCTTCCTAATTATTTATCACTAATATCCATCACGTTCCATGGAAAATTAGACAAAACCACCAGTTGAAATTTATATTGAGTAAAAAGGATTTTTTAATAAAATGTAATTACTTGAAAGGATCAAATACTGAAGACATAAATTGAAAAGAAACTACCTGAAGCCAAATATCCTAACCTTCCTCATATCTTCATAATTTTTTTTTAAATGAGAAAAATAAAGGTAAATCCACCCATTATACAACGATGATATTATATATTTTTAGCACTCTTTTTATTAAGATTTGTATCCGCCATATATAAATCAATATATCACTTAATTATTAATATAAGTAGGAATTGATTTATACCATTGTTTCGTTACTTTTTGTCTTACTTATAGTACTTTATATTTCATATCACTAGCACATTACCCATGCGGTATGAATTAGTACTTCTCATATACTATAAAATGTTTTAATCATTCTCGTATAGTATAAAATGTTCAATCACTATATAATGATTATTTAAAATTCATATATATGATTTTGTCACGAACAAAATATAGATGGTTTTGTCACGAACAAACACAATTGGTATATATGCTTAGGATATAAAATTATAAAAAGTCTCTTTGTAAGTAAGATTGAAGGTTTTTTTTTTAATTTTATTTTACGCTTCTATCATCTAAGATCATTTTTTTTTCAAAACATTCAGAGCGTCATTCCTCATAAGTGTTATATATACTCTTATAATATGTTTTGCTAAAATAATAACCGATCTTTGGTGGTCCATAATCAAGGAGCTCTCTCTTCTTGAACCCTGCAACTTTAACAACTATCATGCATATATAATTTTGATGCAAAAGAAAAATCATAAAGTAACTACTGCTTAAGCATGACCGTGAGTTTTATAAAGATTAAGTAGATAAGAAACAAAATATAGTCTTATAAAAGAGAAGCAACTAACTATAGAACATGCTGCATTTAATAGGAATAGTCAATTTATACCATTGCAACCCATCACAAAAGGTTCAGTGAAATATGCATGTAGGGGATCTTGTACGTGCGTGAGAGCATGGGAATTTAGATTAGGGCAGTAAGAGCTATAAGCACTTCAAATTAAACTCTCGGAAGCAAAAACATATGGAACACGGCAGAGAAGTTGGATGAATCAAATCATGAAATAAATGAATGCAGCAAATGAATCACTTTGAAGGGATGGCGGACCTCTATTGTCACCAACAAATGAATCCCACAAGTAGATGAAGGAAGAAAAAGAAATAGAAATCTTGGAAATTAAACTCCCTCTTTTCCAGGCCATCCAAAAAAAATCATGGAGATGATTATCCGCTCAGGAGCACTGTGGAGAAGAAAAACATCCAGATAAGAACAACAAACACAATGAGATGATGAGAGAGAGCAGAGAAGAGTAGACATAATGACAATGGAACCTGTAGGCTTTGGCTCACAGGACTAAGTTTGAGCATTTGATAAAAATTGTTGGGAAGAAGTGGCTTCACACAAGGCCATTTGAATCATTCAACAAATTCCCCGTTTTGTAACTTCTCATATATGATTTAAAATTCAAATTTAAAAATTCATTTAAAAATCATGACTTTCTGATAGAGTTCCGAGTTGTGGCTTTAACAGGAAAAAAATGAAAAAAAATTTAAGAATAACATGGGGATGTGGAGAAAGTGGGCAAAAGGTGATGGAAGTTACTTCACATTACACTAAACTTTTATTTTTAAAAGCTATGTAAACATCTATTAAAATATAAAACTAAATTGTACAAATTCTTTTAAAATGGATTAAAATTCCGTAATTCATCTACTTTTTATCCATATATAAATCTTCTTTAAGCAAAATAATTATTTATAAAATAATGCTAACTTCTACTAAAAATGTATAACTTTTATTATATACGATCGTTCAAAACAATTTATTTTTTTATATAGATTTAAAAACTTTATTTTTCTCATGACTCAACAATGTTTATATATTCTTCAACGGGTTTTTAAATATGCATTAGCTTTAACAATAAAATGGAGGATAGAACAGTGGAGAAAATGTAGGAGATATGGATATGGATAATAATGTATATCTATATTTAAATGTTTGATTGTTTAACTTAATTATAATTTTCATTATCCTGCCCAATCTCCCTCCTGATTCTTTTCTCTAATTTTTCCCATGATCCTGATATTCTAATTTAAGTTAAATTGATAAATTTATTATCTTATAAAAAAGAGCAGCTTGTAATTGGTTGGAAAAAATAGCATTTCATTAACCTGATATATCCACATCCTTAACTTCCCAATAATCTGAATATGAATATACCTTATATTTAGTTGGTAAGTATACTGCTCTTATTTAATAAACAACTTAAATATTTATCTCAAAGACTTTTTTCCCTTGATAGTAATTGGCGGCTTTTTATTAGTCTAGATATACAAATGCGTTGGTATTTATTATTAAAAAACTGACCCACGCTCCCGGATTTTATAATTATAGCACTCCCTATAATTTATCAATTTATAAATCAAATTAACCGATAAATATATTTTAAAAAAACTGCCTTTCGTTTCCGAATTTGTGATTATATCTATTTCTATAATTTATCGATTTATAAATCAATTTTAATAATAAGTGGGTAGTTTAAATATTTAGTGGCATAACCACTTGTTTGGTGTATGGTAAACAGTTATAAGCACGATTGGATAAATATACCGCAATATCTTCATAACCAATCCATTCTACGAAATTGCTGATAAATATGAAAAAAAAAAACTGCACATGTTTCCAGATTTTGTGATTATAGCTCTTCCTATATTTCAGGTGAAATATATTTAAAAAAACTGCCTTGCGTTTTCGGATTTGTGATTATATCTATTTTTATAATTTATCGATTTATAAATCAATCATTATATTCTTGAAAACTTGTAATACCCGGTTCGTTTTAAAAGCGGGTCGGGTATAACATTAAGACATCTGAATATATTTAATTGATGAGATTTGAATAATATTAAATTTAAATAGGAAACATCATAATTAAAAATACATCAATTGGGGGCTTAAATAGAGAAATAAATAAATAATTTTAAATTTTTATATGGTCTTCTTAATTTTCAAATCTCTAATTCAAATCTCATTCGATATGAATAAAAAATTACACTTCTATAAGAAGTGATATAATTTTGAGTTGCTTAGATAATACAATTTATTATCATTTAAAATTAATCAAATTTTAATCCATGCATCGCACGAGGAAGAAATCTCTAGTTTTGATAATAAGTGGGTAGTTTAAATATTTAGTGGCATAACCACTTGTTTGGTGTATAGTAAACAGTTATAAGCACGATTGGATAAATATACCGCAATATCTTCATAACCAATCTATTTTATGAAATTGCTGATAAACATGAAATAAAAGACTGCCCATGTTTCCAGATTTTGTGATTATAGCTCTTCCTATATTTCAGGTGAATATATAATAGTTTAAATATTATGTGACGTATTAATAGCAACAAAATATATTCCCCATATCCTAATTCGGATTTCAAACCAAACATGTGGTATCAATAAAAATTTAACAATAAATAAAGACATCTATGGGTTTTATTTGTATTTCAAATGCAATGTTAAATAATTTATTCTGAATCGAAGTATCAGTCTTAAAAATAATCCGAGAAAAATTAATTTGGTAAATGACGCATATAAAATTAATGAATAATAATAATAAAATTATAATTTTGAATAAAATTCAAAATAATCAAAAAGAAAAATTCCCCATGCTATCAATCAGTAGTTCAAGTTATATATACATACAAATATATCATGCATAAAAATAATAATAATATTATTTTCTGTTAGCATTCCCAATTACATTGACGTACTATATTGACGTCGTTTTCATATAATTATCAAAACTGCACGGGGATATGTATCCAAAAATTATCAAAATTACATTATATTAAGTAACATTTAGTTTTTGGTTAAATTTAAACCGTTTGTTTATCAAACAACAGACTTTGTTTGTTGATAAAATTATCAATTTTCTACTCAGGTAATATGAAAACCGAACATTTTCAAGAACTACCGAGTCATATATATCAATGAAGATTACCACATTTTATGGATGAGAAATGGGAAATGTGCTGAGCAAGGCAATTAGAGAGGGAAAAACTGAACTGGGATATGCATTAAGTATATGAGCAACAAATCATAGTCTTGCCAATCCAAGCACATAAACATAGAAAACCAAACGAAGTCTAAACCAACATTAAAAGGCTAAAGTAATCAAGAACAACAAAATAGACATAATGTAAGACTGAACAGAAGACACAATATCCAATGTTTAATCTTCAATGGTCAACTTCCGTTTTGCCTTCCCACGACGACGTAAAACCGCCAAGCTATCATCTTTATTGTTTCCTTCACCATCAGCTTCCACATCAGGACCTTGCTCATTCACCTCGATCTTTGAAGATACATCAGCATTTTCTCCAATAGCACCCTTGGATGGGAGCCCAACAACAGCCTTATGCTGAACGTCAGCTTCCATAGCAAGATTCTGAGATGACATCTTCTCTGCTATTAAATTTTGATAGGAATGAATTATATCCTTATCACTGGTCAAGCGCACAGCGATACATGTGTTTGAATATGTCTTTACATAATCCTCAGGAACACGCAGTTTAAATAAGTATCTCTTCCAAGTGAGGGGCTCTAAGATGCTTGCTGGGATTCCATCTCCATCACCAACCTGAACATACATCAAGAAATCTATTAATAGATAATATCCCACAAGAACATATCAACACTTGAATAAATATATTAATATAGATATACCCCTTCATCACCAAACTGTTTGAGAATGCGGTCCCTCATCTCTGCTGCAGAACAACCAACCATCCTAGAAAACTCTCTGTCAAATATGACAACGCTGCAGGATCCACTCTCATCCATAACCTCACAAGTAACCATATACCTGTGATAACAATTTAAACCAATAGGAACAAAGTGTCATGCAAGTCCCTCAAACATTTAGAAGTATAACATATGGTACTAAAAGCATTACCTTGGTACGACCACCTTAATAATGGAAGCACACTTCTCACAAAAAAACCCCTCCCCATCAGGCACCACTTTTTTTCCACAATGCTTACAAGAGACATACATCCAACCCTTCTCAGTACGAAAGTCTACTATATCCGCTAGAACAACACACACACCATCCTACAACAAATAACTAAATATGTAAATATTGAGAAGCAAAAGGCAAAATTGAGAGCATTATGTGAACAATGAATAATAGTAGAGAGAAGTAGGAAATAACACACCCCAGTTAAAGAACGAAGATCAGATATCTTTCGCCTTAATTCAACATAGTAACTCATCAGCAACACTCATTGTTGACTGGGGAGCAATCCTAGCCGGAACTTGGCCCACATCGACACCTTTTGCCTTCAATCTGCACCAAGCGAGTTTGTCACCACTTGCTTCCAAAATTAAAAGCAATTAATTGGCTTTACATAAAGCGTGCGTATTAGTCATCACGCTATATAAAATTAATACATAATTGAATGTAGGAAAAAAAATTTGAATCACTAAACCATACTTTGACATGAAATGTTCCACTTCAGGAATGGAGGGATGGATGAAGATTCTTGAAGAATACATAGAGTTTGAGATTCTCCTCTTGGCTAAAATCACAACACAAACACGTTAGAACCATTGAGGATAGAATTAATTATAGGATTATTCAAAATATATTGACCATACATTTAAACTCTCTAACTTTACATAGTTGGATAATGACAACAACAGGACTGGATATATCCCCTGCCATGAATTGGAGAATCTCATCTGCAAAATCCCCCCAGAGTGTGCACTCAAGCTTCTCCATTCTAAAAAACATAAAGAACACAAATGTCATCAAAAGTATATCTAACAAAGATGAATAACACAAAACATGTGGCCACACATTAGGGATACAACTTCCATGCATACCCATCGTCCATCAATTCCACATTAACTCTGCGCTGTGTCTGGCCATTGATATTGCACTCCTCCTTCTCTCCAATAGCAGACAACATCCCGATGACATCTGCACAACAGGAAACGCATTAATTCACCTAACATAACCCATAAATGAGATTATAATAAGACAAACATCAACACAATACACAGACCAGTCAAGTAGCGATCATCAAACTGATTTGACAAGATATGTGCAAACGAACGGAAGGTAAATCCAAACTGATGAATACGGTCATCTTCCGGAAGGGGACGGACTGCCGTGGAATACATAAAGCTCATTCGATATGGGTGATCAGTTGTCCTATACGACCCATAATTCGGTGTAACCATGAAGTAGGAAATAACACAAAGCTTCCCTTCTGTGAAGTTATTCAGATGACGAGTAATGAAGGGACTCTTAACCTGAGCATGTATGTTATCACCCTGCACACACAAGAAGCATTGATTTATACTACATGTTGAGAAAGGGAATGATACTAAAGCATTACTCACATCCTCATCTCGAAGGAGCATCTCAATAGAGGAGAGTTCTTCATGGGAATAGCGGCCAGGCATGGTCCACAGACGAACTACACGAACTCTAATCCGCCAATTCTGCCTGCTAGGATTAAGGGAACGAATTGCATCAAAAATGGGAGCCATAACACCTATAATCACAAAATCCTGACTAACACTATCAAGAATGGGAGAAGAACACAAAGGAACATTGGAATGGTGCTCACGCTTTTATGAGCAGATACTACATCAGATAACTGTCACGGCAAGCATCATACAACGTGGGCATGATTTGCACACGAGACCACATCACGAACGTGGGTTTCAGAAACATGCTGTCAAATGAAACTGAACAATACGTGATGATGCCCAAGGGATTTCTCGAATTTTTGGTCTATTAATAATTAGCTATAAATAAAAGATATAATTATATGATTTTATGATAGATTTCTTGTAGAAGATTGCATTTAAATATATAATGATAAAAACTGCCATAACAAAATCCCGACTTAGTGATTATACCCACATGTTTCCGGATTTATGTTTGGTTTATTAATAATTAATAAAAGATATCTAAAATCCCGACTTTATGAATTATCTAAAGACACTTTGAAATTTTATATTTGGAATGTAAAATATGGTTATGCCACTTAAAATTTAAAAATGGCACTAAATAATTAAAAATTATATGAAGAAGTATATTCCCAAAATATGGAGACGTGTGGCAATTTTTCATTATATACTTATCAGATAGTTAGTTTATTTTAAACGTTGGGTACAATTATATGATTTTATTAGGGATTTCTTGTAGGAAAATTGCATTTAAATATATTTAAATATATAATAAAAAACTGCCACGATCATATAACTAACTATCAGATAAATTCACCCAAATATCCTCATAACCAATTTTAGTTACGAAACTGCTAATAAATATATAATAAAAAAACTGCCCATGTTTCCGGATATTGGGAATATAACTCTTCCTATAATTTATCAATTTATAAATCAGATAATATAAAATAATTTGAAGAAAGAAGAAATTCTAGGTTTGTAAGTTTAAACTAAAACGATCACGAACGCGGATATACAGGACTATTAGAAATATGGGCAGAAATATAATGATAAAAACTGCCTTGTAAAATCCCGCGTTCGTGATTATACCCACATGTTTCCGGATTTATGTTTGGTTTATTAATAATTAATAAAAGTTATCTAAAATCCCGACTTTATGAATTATCTAAAGACACTTTGAAATTTTATATTTGGAATGTAAAATATGGTTATGCCATTTAAAATTTAAAAATGACCGTTCATGATTAAAAATTATATGAAGAAGTATATTCCCAAGATATGGAGACGTGTGGCAATTTTTCATTATATACTTATCAGATAGTTAGTTTATTTTAAACGTTGGGTACAATTATATGATTTTATTAGGGATTTCTTGTAGGAAAATTGCATTTAAATATATAATAAAAAACTGCCACGATCATATAAATCATGATCAGATAAATTCACCCAAATATCCTCATAACCAATTTTAGTTACGAAACTGCTAATAAATATATAATAAAAAAACTGCCCATGTTTCCGGATATTGGGAATATAATTCTTCCTATAATTTATCAATTTATAAATCAGATAATATAAAATAATTTGAAAAAAGAAGAAATTCTAGGTTTGTAAGTTTAAACTAAAACGATCACGAACGCGGATATACAGGACTATTTGAAATATGGGCAGAAATATAATGATAAAAACTGCCACACAAAATCCGGATTTTGTGATTATACCCAATGTTTAAAATAAACTAACTATCCGATAAATATATAATTAAAAATTGCCACACGTCTCCATATTTTGGGAATATACTTTTTCATATAATTTTTAATTATTAAGTGTCTTAAGATAATTCAGAATAATTTGAATAATCGTGAAAAAAGTTTAGCATGTTGACCAGAAAATTCTCTCCAATAGTAAACAATTGCTGAAACGTGGGTAGAAACATGGGTGAAAAAATGTGGCCTTTTTTTTGTTTTGAAAAAAGAACATTTATCTGATCTTTGGTGATGCCACGTGTCATGCTGCTAGGTGTTCATGCCTTGTACTCTACTTTTATATATTAATAGATAAACATCGAATAGGTATAAGCCGGATTAGAAGGTGGTATGAAACGTGTGGCGTACTGGCATAATTCTTTTGTGAAAATTAATCAGAAGTTTTTCATTAGCAAATTTAATTGCGTAACGATACTCATGGACCTAGGTTTTTTAGCTGCATGCAATTCATTTTCAGAGGATACAAGTCTTTTCTAGTTATTATTTCTGATCTTAATTGTAACATCTTATTTATAGTTTACAAACCAAGATTTATAATTAATAGCAGAAGTAGTATATATAAATGTGTACCTTAAAAATTGCACCCACTATATTTACAGGATAAAATTAATTTTTTAGATTAGAAATTTAAATATCATACTGCACAATCAATGTGTATTGGTGATAAGCCTGATAACCATGTGCTAAAATCTAATTGGCCCACATAAAGAAAGCAATAAATATAGTATGTTTATCGCCATAATAAAATTTGGATCATTTTTAATATACAATTTTTTTAATAATGATTTTTTTAAAAAATAAAAGCCATTTTATTTTAAATTTTGTACCTATTAAATATCGATATGATTTTTATGCATTCATGTCTTTCACGTTTAAATATCCATCACTTAAAAAAAATAAAAAAGTTATTTTCACAAGTTGTGAATTATAACATTTATTTTCTTAATATACTCAAATTAGTCAATTAGTTTTTATATAAAAAGTGGACGAAATATCTGAATTCATAAAAAGTCAAAATTATAACCTCATTTTAAGAAAGATCTAAAAAAAATGTTTGGTATCATTGAGTTAAAAGAACTCATGAATTCAAATTCCGAATGAACTTTGGCGCCGATTTATAAAACTTCTTATTGCCTAAATGTTTATTTTTGCATGGTCAGGTCTCATATCCCCCGTATATCACCTAAATGATGTCACCTCCATGAGCTCAGCCCCACACAATTAATGAAATATAAGAGGGGGATGGCAAGTTCGTTGTGTGGGTGGATATACAATTGATGAAGGAGTGGGGTCGTTTTGTTTTGTACTCCTGCAATCCTTAATTATTACAGGATAAGAAGAATTGGGAAGGTGATATTGATCATATAAGTATATAAGACTTATTTTACATGTTTATTAATTTTTTCTTAAATTAATTCTATTAATATTCCTTCAATAATGATCAAATAGGAAATGGAGGAAAGAATTAAGAAAGATGTTTAGGATGTCTTTAAAAAATCATATTAACTAATTTAACTAACATATTTAATTCACTTAAATTAGTTAATTAGATCTTATGTTAAGGATAATATGAGTTTTTTTTAAAATTTCTTCGATTGTCTATTCAAAGGACTATAAGTAATTAAATTTTTCTGGGTTCCATAATTAATTTTAGCACATGGTTAGCGGGTCCGTCAACAACCATATTTGATTGTGTTATTGTGATGAAAAGGAAAAACTAGCTACTTGTTAATGACATTTCAGTGCATTTATGTCTTTCACTTTTAAATATTGAGAAATTTGTCTAATAAAGTCTCTTATTTGAAAAAAAAAATTCTGTAAAAGTATTTGAAATCTGTTTTTAAACCCACACGCAAGCTACTTTTAGAGGATCCAATTCTTTTTAAGTTGTAACTTATTTTCAATTTCTAAAACAAAAGACATTTGCATACAATCCAAAAAACAGTTGCACGCGCGCCACTGAAAAACCTCGGTCTTTACGTATCTTTACACAATTAAGTTTTTTAATAAAAAAACTGTTGGCTAACTTTCCTGAGAGATTACACGGATAGGCCCCATAATTCAAAGAACATTGTAATAAACAACATATAAATATAGAAAGAACATTGTAAACATGTACAATATATAATTGATCATGTGTGGACGCTAATTCTGAGAGATACAGCTCAACATGATGTGTCGATTGCCCTTAATTTTTGTTATTGCCGTAGCAAATACCAAAATACTATGAATTAACACCCATTAATTTGGCTTACACTCGCTCAATATTATTGCTTCAAGAAAAATCCATCCGAATTTAGGGACACGGAGTGGGGTAATGTAATATAAACTCACAACTTAGTCAATAATCTTTCGGTTCTAAATATAAAACTTTTTTTGTAATATAAATTACATTATAAAAAGGGTCTTATATTTAAGATTAGAGGAATATTTCTTAACAAGATGCACCATGTGCAATTTTTTTCACGATATGCGCCATGTGGAGCCATCAATATCCAGTATTATCTGGGACAACCAACTGGTGGTCTAGGCACTTCGCTACCAACTGGCGGTGGCATGAAATGCGGGGCGTACTTGCATAATTCTTTTCTGTGAAAAATAGTCAGAAGTTTTTCATTAGAAAATTTAATTGCCTAACAATACTTAATTAAGGACCCAGGTTTTTTACCGGCAAGCAGTTCATCTTCAAATAATGCAAGTCTTTTTTAAGCTGTATATAAATATCTTTCATTTTGCACATAAGTATGAATAAGTTGCATGTTACTATTAAAAAAAAGAAAAAATTACGAACAAAGACTCTCAATATGTGAAATTGTGATTTGAGATCCGGTTTCATATTGCAAATATAAAATCTTGATAAAATGTCTAAAATACCCCCCAATCAAATTGTGATTTGGTTTACTGAAATTGTCATTCACTAAAGTGAACTTGTCATTTCCCATAGTTAACTTATTATTTGGTATACTTTAAGCCAAGTTGTGATTTGGTCTATTGAAATTGTCATCTGTTAAAGTGATCTTGTCATTTTCCATAATCAACTTGTCATTTAGCTAAAGGGTATCTCAAATATTTCACCAAGATTCAATATTTATAATATGAGATCTGGTCTTTATTTGCTATTTTTCAAATTGAAGGTCCTAAATTATAATTTCACATATTGAGGGTCTTTATTTGTCATTTCTCAAAAAAAATTGCATCCATTACATTTACGGGACAAAATTATTTTTTTTAATTAAGAATTTTTGTAAACTTTTTCATATCTGTCATGCCTATGACAGACTGATATTTAAGAGAGTTATGGACGCG